CTAAATAAGAAAAACTAATATTAGGTTAAATCTCTCTTCCTAGTTTGCACTGGTATAAATCAGGAGCAAGAGCAGACGTACAAACCAGGGCTGATTCTTATGTAACTTAAATAAGTGGCAGCTTTGCTTTTAACTTCAGTGAATTTTGGATCAATCCCATAATTATTATCATTAGGGAGGAATTAGATCTTTTTTCTGTGTTTTTTTTTTTTTTTTTTCCCCAGACCACAAATGATTCCACAGATGGGATATTCAGTTTTTAGCAGCTGTCATTATTTAGAAGTTTAACAAGCACTCTTATAGAAAAAAACAAAAAACAAAAAACAAAACAACTATAAAAGAGAAGTTGTATAAATAGACTAAAATTAATAGGGGAACCAAAGAGAGTTAGTTCCTGCTTCACAAGCCTCTACAGCTCTTTTACTTTTGGTGTTCTTAAAATGTATTTAACTGCAGTTCCATTTACAAGAGATGTCAGCAGTGTTTTTGCTATGGTGGTTGTGAAAGCCAAGGTTTTTCCATCACTTTACAGACTCACTTCTGAATGTAACCAGTGTTTGTTAGACATTTCAAGTGGAGTAGTCCAAGCATTTGCCCTTGACTTGCCAGATGGGGACGATACCAAATTATTAGAGAATTACAGGTTACTAGTGAAGAGAATACTGCACATTTTGCTAGGGAAAAGGAACTGGAGGTTTTTACATGATGCATGAATGGGCTTTAATTTGTGTGTAGCTGCAGTGTGAAATGAGGCCAGGCCTAAATCATAAACTTGAATCATAAGCTTTGCTTGCAAAGCCAAATTGCAAGTTTTCCAGATAGGGTACCAAAATCACAAGAGAGAGCTTGCATAAACTTATCCTTAAGGTTACTGTGACCTGAAGGAAGAATGCAAGAGTCATCTCAGGGAGCTGGTCCCTTCTTCGGCCCTTTGCTTATCTGCAGGAGTGGTGATTAAGCCAGTCTCAAGAAGTGTCTTTCCTGAGTTTTCTCACATAGATATGGAAATTACAGTCAAGGGGAACATCAGAACAGGATTACTCATTCCCTCCATCCTACTTCAGCTGTACTGTTCCATAGAGTGGCCAGTAATGGAGGCTTCAGAGTAAGAAATAAGATGCTGAAGCAGAAAAGGATAAGAAATAAGAGAAACAGAGTGTTCCTTGCTCTGTCGAGTCTCCCAGCTGCCAATTTGTGGTCAAAGGACTTCTTGAGCCAGGATTTGTCTCCTGGTCAGTAACCACATTGAGTCCATCCTCTATAAATGTCTAGCCCCTTAACAAGGCTGTTTATGTTTCTGGCCTCCATTCTTGGCAATGGATTCTATACTGGATCTATAGACAGTGTGAAAAGGTGTTTGCTTCTGTACGTTTTAAACCTGCTATTTCATAATTTCAGCAAGTGCCCCTTAGATCTTAAGCTGGAGAAAATGAAAAATCCTTCCCCATTCATCCGGTTTGTGTGGTTTATGATTGTACAGATCTTTCTAACATGTTCCCCTGCAGTCATTCTTTCCCAGACTGAGAAATCACAAGTCCGCCAGTCCCTCTGCCTCCCTCCACAGCCCCGTTTCATGCCTCTGATCACCTCTGCCATCTTTTTTTGTGCCTTTCCAGATTCTACTTTATACTTCTTCAGACTGAAAGAAACAGAGTTGTGCTCAGTATCAGTTGTATGGATATATCATCTGTACAGTGCCCAAGTGGTGGTTTTGCTTGCAGTTTTTCCTAATAATTACTAATTATTTGTCTCTTTGATAATCAGTGAGCACTAAGCTGTTTTATTTTTTTTTTTTCTTTGTTTTCTTTTGTTTTTCCCCAAGGGGTTTTCCTCTACTGCTCTAAAATCTTCTGGAATGGTAAAAGTTTACTAAGAGTGCCCATTCCCTGTTGGTTTATTCTGTCTTTCGCCCATTACTCAGCTTGTGCTTTATTCTGTGTTTGCTGTTATTGCATGCTGCCTGCCATCCTGCTGCTCGGGCACAGCACCAGGACATCCGTGCACTCTTCACAGCCCTTTTTGGGAACAACTATGTGTCATCATCCGACCGCTCAGGAAACCACGCAGCTGGGCAGGAAGAGCCAGGAAGGGCTCAGCCTCCCTGCACACTTGTAGGGCACAAAATGAATCAACTTGCCTTGCCTGGAGCCAGTTTTCCAAGCTCCTGCCAGGGATGAGGAGAGAATCCATGCTTCTGCAGACACCTCAGCTCCTGCCTGGCACTGAGAGCTGTGTGTGGAGGTTCAGTGCAGCCATCACCAGATGGTGCTGCTGCATTCAGCCTTGCAGGGTCACTGTGTTCACGATTGTTGGGATTCTTGTGGATGTTTTCCTGCTGCTTGGATGTCTGGAGAGCAGGCAGGGCATGCTCTGCCTTCATGTCACTGGCCAGTTCTCACTGAGAACCAGACGTTTGGGCTTTGGCTGGGGATTCAGAGCAGGGGTGGCTTCAGATGATGTTTGAGATGATCTGTTCCAGCCTGGCTCAAGTGGATAAACAAAATTAATTAGGCCCACATCATAGGATTGCACAGGATTTATTTTTCCTCCAATGGAAAACTGGATGGCAACAGGTACTGCTGCAAATCGGGACAACATATCACTACAGTTCAACTCTTTTTTTTCCGTAAGTTTTACAGTTTTTTCTCTTTTTTTCTTTATTTTTAAAGATCCAGCTCCAGGAATCATGTTATCACATGAGAATCCAACACCCAACACACAACTGTACAGAAGAAGTTATGTCCCATTTCCTACATCTATTATATATGAAACTGCAGAGCACAAAGAACTTCAGCTGATGTGATTCAGCCTCATCCTGCGGACATTCAGGCTGTACTTTAGGTGCACTTTAAAGTTCTGTCTGTCTTTACATTCTGTCTGCAGCCATTACAGAGAGTTCTGTAAGAACTGAGATTTGATCATCCAGCTCAGAACAGGATCTGTCCAGACTCATGGATTCCAAGGGACAGTTCATGGCTCAGAAAGATAGGGGAGATCAAAGTGCAAAATGACAGTGATGCTCTTGAGAAGGCAAATGAGGAGACTTTGTATTTTACGGTGTCATAAGAAGAGTAGCAGTGAATACCAAGAAACTAAACTGGGGTTGGCCTCTGCTGACAGCAAGCTCCTGGGCCCCGTAGTGTCTGGATATCATCAGTCTGGCAATTTCTAAGGTTAGACACAACCAAGCTCAAGAATTCTTCACGCTTCTTATCTTCAACTAATCGCCACAGATCACAGAACTCAAAAGCCTCACAAAGCCACATGTCAGAAGTCTGATTTTAAGGATCTACAAGTCTTCCTGGCAGAATTGTTGCCTCCATGTGAGGAATGATCCCATGACTGAACCTGTTCCACCTGCTCTGTCCCAAGGAGGGAGACGGGAGTCTCCTCTGAAATATGAAACGTCTGGAAGGAGAAAAGAGCAAGGAGAAAACAGAGTGGGAAACCATCATTCACACAGAATGTGAAAGGTGAAGAGCTGAGGGCAGAGCAATAGTCTGGAACTGTGAAAGAAAATAAAAACGAAAAGAAACACGCATGGAAGACAGCAGGAAGATGGGAGAGGAGCAGTGATGAGTTTAACAAAATGAGAAGGTAGAAGAGGAAGGATGTTAACTTCACAGTTGTTCAGGACAGCTTTGGTTGCACAGAGCGGCCGTGAGAAAGGAGTTCATTTACTGGAAAAGAGCTTGCTGGGCTAAGGGCAGCCAGGAGGAGTCAGGGCAATGGGAAATGAGGAAAGCAGTTCATAGAATCATAGAATCAACTGAGTTGGAAGGGACCCTTAAAGGCCATCTGGTCCAACCCCCCTGCAATGAACAGGGACCCCCTCAGCTCCATCAGGTGCTCAGAGATTCATCCAGCCTGACCTTGGGTGTCAGCAGGGATGGGACAACCACCACCTCTCTGGGCAACTTGTGCCAGTACTGCACTACTCTTACCATAAAATAATGTTTTCCTTATATCCAGTCCAAAGCTCCCTTCTTTTAGTTTGAAATTATTTTTCCTTGTCCTATCAAAACAGCCCCTGCTAAAAAGTCTGTCCCTTTCTTTCTTACAGCCCCCTGTTAATTACTGTGAAGGGTTACTCTCAGATCTCCCTGGAGCTTTCTCTTCTCCATGCTGCACAGCCCCAGCTCACTCAGCCTGTCCTCAAAGGGAGGTATTCCATCCCTTGAAGCATTTTTGTCATCCTCCTCTGGATGTGCTCCAACAGGTCCGTATCTCTCCTTCAGTAAAATCCCAGCTGAGGGCATTGCAGAGATGCCCCCATGTCTATTTAGTGCCTGAGGTCCACGACCCTTGTGGACCCAGCAGGATGGCCACTGCCATGCTTTGTATTCTTAGCCAGGTGGGACCATTGTGTCACCACACCTGCTGCTGCTAAGCTCACAGCATCGTGCAGGTGGGGTGGGCTGAGCAGTAGCAGTGGAAGGGAGGATATTGCAGTTCCCCAACCTGCTTCACGTTCTGAAATTTGGAACGTAATTAAGTGCATTTAATTCCGACTTTTATTAACTGCATGCAGAAACCAGAAAGAAATCCACCCCAAAACAAACCCTGCGCACGGAGTGCCAAAAATGTTAATCACACGCAGCTAACCCCAAAAGACGAGGTTGTAACTGTAAACTTTGCAATAGCAGAAGCAACATTTCTTTGTATTTGCTGTATGCATTTCCCTTCTTAAACACAGCATTTCATAGAATCTTAGGACGGTTTTGTGTGGACGGACCTTAGAGATATCTACTTCCAGTCCCTGCTGTAGGCTGGCGGACCCCCGGCTCAGGCTGCCAGGGCCCCATCCATGGCCTTGGGCACCTCTGGCGATGAGACACCCACAGCTCCCTAAGCAACCCGTTCCAGCGCCTCACCGCCCTCACGGTGAAGAATTCACCCTCCCACCCCGGGCCCGCCCTCCCGTCTCGGGCTGCCGGCTCCTCCCCTCCCGCCGCCGTCCCACACTCCAGGTGTCCGCGCCGCGCAGAGCCGAGCGGAGCCCCGCGCCGGGCGGAGCGGCCAGCCGCAGCCGCGGGAGGTGGGCGGTGCGCGGGCTGCGGGGTCGCGGCATGGCTCGGGGGAAGCTGCTCCGCTGCCGCCCGGCCCCCTGAGCAGGCGAGGCGGGACAGGACGGGACGAGACGGGACGCGGCTCCGGTTGTCGTCCGGACTCCTGGGCGCCCCCGGGGGGTGGCCATGTCCGGAACCATGAAGTTCAACGGGTACCTGAAGGTGCGGATCGGCGAGGCTGTGGGGCTGCAGCCAACCCGCTGGTCCCTCCGCCACTCGTTGTTCCGTAAGGGCTACCAGCTGCTGGACCCCTACGTGACGGTCAGCGTGGATCAGGTGCGCGTCGGGCAGACCAGCACCAAGCAGAAGACCAACAAGCCCACGTACAACGAGGAGTTCTCCGCCACGGTGACCGACGGCCATCAGATCGAGCTGTCCGTCTTCCACGACACCCCCATCGGCTACGATGACTTCGTGGCCAACTGCACCTTGCACTTCCAGGACCTCCTGCGCTCGGCGGGCCACAGCGACAGCTTCGAGGGCTGGGTGAGTAGCTGGGCTCCTGCGAATGAATGGAGGCAGAACGGGGCTTGTCCTTGCACGCCTGTGCTGCAGATGCACGCGGCGCGGTGTGCGTGCAGGAGTGCCGTCGTGCATCTCCTCGCGTTGGTGCTGGACTGAAGGGGATGGATACGTGGTGACAGCTGGAAACTGATGCGTTTGGGGACCGCAGTCTCAGCAGGTCATTCTGTGATTCTGTGATTCTGTGATTCTGTGAAGGCTCAGCTTTGCAGCTGAGTGCTGTGCAGTCTCTTGAAGAGCCTTGTATGTAGCAGCAGAGTACACCTGCACTCACAGGGTTGCATGCCTTCCTTCCCTCACTGCTGAGCACACAAGGACATGGAAGCATGCATGCTCGGATGGATGTATTTGTACTGAGATCTGCACCTGCTTGCGCAATTGTTTGCCGTGTGTCTTTTTAGCAGAACAGCAGGACCCGTCCTGCATGTGTTATGTACATCGCTGCACTGCTTGAGCATGGTTTCACTTAAGGTTAATTTTAGGTTATTTCCACATCACTTATATCCAGCCCAGAGAACTCAGTTATGTTTTAGTCATAATGGTGAGTGAGAGGGGTAGGACAGGCTCTAAAGTTATGCCTTTGTTTCTTGCACTTCAGAGCAGGAGGAAATGAATGTATTGATTCCAACTGTAGTTGCTTGTAAGTCTTTAGATTAAAATAAATATATATCTGCTTTCTGGGCAGAGAGTGTGCAGAAAAAACTCAGAATTGCTAAAGTTAATACAGGTATTAGCACTGAGAGACCAGGAAGCTCAGCTCACGTGGTCAGGTAACCACTACAATAAAATCAGACAGGGAGGAAGAGCTGATAGCAGAGAGCTGATAGGTATCTGCATGCTATGGCTGGGACAGTGCTGGTGCTTTCAGTTCTGAGCCACTGCCCGTGATTAAGGTGTGAAGCTCCATCTCTGGGGTGACTGCAGGGAAATACAGACCAGTTGCAAGAGCATTTAATAGACCTATGTTGGTGCTGTTTGTTATTTTCTTCTTTAGCCCAGTGGGCGCACACTGAGTTTCCCACGTTATGCAGCTGGAAAGAAGCTGTCCCTGTGACTTGTGATAAAACAAGGTTATGTATGGACAGCCTGTGGGACTGAGCAAAGGCAGCACTCGGGATATAAGGTTGTGGTTTTGAGGGTTTTCTTCCTGTTTGATTTGTTGGGAGTGTTTCCTATTTGCTGTTGAGAGAGCCCTTAGCTCCTTGGTGTGCTGGGTACTGAGTGTGGTGGGTTTGGGCACCCTGTTGTGGGGTGGTGGCCTTATTTACACTACCAGAATGCCTATAGTGACATTGCCTGTGATGTAGATGCACAGATATCTGGAGGTTCACTGCTTCTTTCCATCTACACATTCCCTAGATGCTGCTTTTTAGGACGGGTGCAGTATATGGCCAGCCAAGCAGTTTCAAGTTCTCATTTGGTGTTTGGGGAGGGGAAAAGTTGGATGGGTGCATGTCCTGTGAACTCCTGCATCATTGAGAGGTGCAGTGGGGTGGAAAGTCAGTACATTAAACGTCAGTTTACATCATTCTGTGGTTTATCTGGGCACACAGACAGAGATGAAGAGCTGCTTCTGTCCTTCCAGTTATCATCTAAAAAGTACAGCTGGGGAGGATTTAATGGGCAGGGTGAGCAACTGTTTGTCTTCTGTCCCTTTCTCTTCCCATCCCTACTGACGTGCTCTGTTAGCTTCTCGTATAGCGTGCAGCCAGGATTGCATGATGACAGTGGGAACAGCGTCTTGCCATGATAATTTAATATGTCTTGATAAATCCAGCAAGGCTGTCACTGGGTTTTGTGCAGTCTGAAGGATAGGAAGTGCTGCTCTGTACGAGCACAAGGTCCATGAGCTACTGGCATGAGGAAAGGCACCACAGAGGTTCTATAGATGATTTGCATCATCTCCACGCTGAAATCCCTCACAGTGCTCTTCTTCCAACTCCTAAACAAAAGCATGTATGCTGATACAGGCAAGGAAGGAGAAAAATGAAGTGAGGGGAAAACTGGTGAGAGTTTAACCTGGCTTATACTTAGCTGCACGTAAAAATCACTGTGATAGCAGTTAGATTTTTTTTTTCCCCCTGAAGTTGTGTAGTCCTTCAGTACAAAATGATTGAGAAACAGTGATAAGGAATACCCTGGGGGTTGAGCATCCCAGAATCATTAGGTATCCTGATAGGGAACTGAAGGCAGAGCAGAGCTGGTAAGAAGTTTGAATTGATAATATAGGAAATCTGGGAGGGAAGAAAAGAATATATTTTTTCTTTTTTCTTCTGTTTTGACTTGAAATGCAGTGTTTACGTTCACTTTTCAGGAAGTTGCAAGGACAAGGATATATTGGTGAATGAATGCACTTGCTTTGATACAACCACGCAGTTCAGGGCAGCTGGAGAAATAGAGAGGGTAGCAGGAGGCAGCTGGAGACTACCTGGGATAGTCCTCCAGTTCACGTACTGCCTGAGTTTGGTGTGAGCCCTCATGTTCTTGTTCTTCTGTTGATCACTGTGTGTGTTTTCTTCTGTAGGGGAAATAAGTGATTGGTTATGGCATTCGTCACCACCTCTTTGTTAGAGCTATAGGAAGTGTCACAGAGAAGCAGGAGGAATCCGTGTGTAAGCCTTGGTGCTTCCCTGGTGACTTGCAGGTACATCACTGCAATTATCACCCCAACCATTTATGCAGATGAGTCAGTGTATGGGCATGAATCGTCTCCTGGGTAATACCTGAGTCATCCCACTCAGTACTGGACGGGGTGCCGTGGTCATACTTTGAATTAAAATCCACGTTCTGGAGGCTGTTTATAAACTGCCTTTTTCTTCTCACCGTTTGGATTGTTTTCTGAAGTTTTTCTATTAAACAAATTACCACAGAATATATATTTTTTAATCTTCATGTTAGCTGTCAAACACGTTAGACAAACTTCACGCTAATTGAATCTATAAGGGCTTATTAGCTTCAAGACCCTGCTGTCCCTTTCCTCTTATTTTACATTTACAGGTCGGATGACAGATAGTAGTTTTTATGAGTATTGTCAGCTAAATGCCATCCTTCCTTGAGCAGGCTTTGATGCAGCTGAAACCAGCAGCTGTCTCGCTGGTACTCTTCTTTTAGGTAGGCGTTTTCCTGTGGATGAATGGGTGTGAAATGGTGCAAACCTGAATGGTAGCATTTTACACAGGTGCACATGACCCTGCCAGGTGCAAAGAGGTAGAGAATTCAACTGGTTACTGTCTGTAAGAGGTGAAGTCATGATTTACAGCAGGAGTTTAACCTCTTTTTCAAGCATTTATTTAATTTTGTGTGTAATAAGATCTTTTTACTCCTTTGGAAGGTAATTTCTCCTCTTTTAACTGTCTCCAAGTACAGTGTAGGAAATATCAGTGAGACAACAGATCATTTGTAGTACTGAGTTGTAATTGAAAGAGAGGTTTACAATATGCAGAGTTACTCCTATGAGGTTTATGTAGTAGCTGAACTCGTTTTTGAGCTTGGAGAGGCACTATTTACAAAAGATATTGAAAGGCATTGGGAATGATTTAATTATGACTGTAGATATGGTTGGTCTGTGGGTAGATGTGTAATTTCTAGCACTCGAACAGGGAGTTAAAATTAAACCTTCTGTGACTCAGTCTTGAAATAGCAAATTATCACAGTATACTGAAGGAAATTAGATAACAGATGGACTATTAGATTAATGAGCCAATTGCGACTTCCTGATGAGTTTGTTCCCATGTGCTCATATGAGAGCAGCTAGATTTGTTTGCAGGAAGAGATTAAAACAAATAATCCCCATCCATTGCTTAACCCAAACTCCTCCGGCTGTACTCTTTCCTGTGATTTCCAGCTCCCACTTTGCTGCAGTGTTCTCCAGATGGACAAAACTGGCATTAGGAAGCCAAAGTATTTTATAGTCGCCAACAGAGTATTTGTGATGTATGTGGACTCTGAATTTTCTGAGGGCTTGCTTGAAATGGAGATTTGTGAGAATAATGCAACTGCTGAGCAGAATGTCAAAAGAGGCTGTGTGAGTTCAAAAAGAGGATTGTGCTTCTTACCTGTCTGTGTCAGCCTGTGCTCATCTGTGGGATGGACAGCATCTTGCAGAGCTGGCATAAATGGTTTCTCCATCCACGGGTACAAAGAGGAGCAGCATTTCGTTTGTGTGATTCCCCGTTTCCGTGCACACAGTGGAGATCTCTGACAGTTGTGCTGCACATAAATAGCAAAGTAGGCTTGAGTAAAGTAAGCTCCATCCCCTTTTTGTGTTAAGTCTTAAGTTGTGTCTGTAATTGTTATTACTGATAGGCAGTTACGCTGTTGAATGGGAACAGTCCATCACAAGAAGGTAGTTCTTGAAAGCTATCAGGATTTCATCTTTGTCTCTTTCTTTTGACAGATAAGCTGTACTCTGTGTGTATGGACAAACTCCTCAAAACACCAGTCCAGCGCACGGGGCTACCTGAACATACCTTGCAGCCTGAAACGAAAGTTGCAAAATAGAAAGAAACAAAAATGGTTGCTATTTGTCAGGTGGTTATATAATCCTGGCTTGTGTTGTGATCGGCTTTGCTGAGCATGGCAGGTGAGAGAGCGCAGAGCTGACTGTATTGTGGTGGGCTGCATGCTTGCTGCTCTGTTTCAGCATCAGAGATTGAAAAGAGCTACTCTGTTATTTCTCTCATTGACATGGTCCTTCCTAGGAAAAGGCCTGTCTGAGCATCCTTGGAGAATAAAGGCATTTTGCTTGATTTTTTTTTTTTAATTTTGTTTTGTTTCTTTTCACTTAAGGAAGTCTGAGGCTGGAATGGTTTGGTCAGTGGATGAGGAGCTACAAGATATGGTTTAGTAGATTGAGGCAGCAATGGTAAGGAGAAGACGGTTGGACTAGATGATCTTATAGGTTGTTTCCAACCTTGTGATTCTATGATTCAAACCATGAGAAAATCCACTTTCAAGTGATGGGA